GAGGGAGAGAAGGAGGGAGGGAGGGAGGGAGGGAGGGAGGACCACAATGAAATGTTGAGCTTTCAGAAGGATAGAACAAACGTAAGGGTATTAGAGATGCGGTGGAGGGAGGCGTGGGGTTGGGGAGTCATTGATTGGGTAAGGGGCATAGTGAATAATTACAATTTGTAATAATGAATATGCTAATAAAATAAATAGATATATAAGTAAATAAATAAAGTAGTAAGCCTATACATATTACTTTAACGAATTTCCAATTTGCCATTGTGTCTATGGGATTTTTTAATGTACAAAAAGTAATAGATTTTATGTTCCTTCATTGTTAAAAAAAAAAAAAGCTCACAATAGATCAAAGGCCTAAACACAACAGCTGAGACTATAAAACTCTTAGAAGAAAACATGATGTTGCATTTGGCGATGGATTCAACAAAAGCACAAGTGACCAAAGAAATCAATTGTTCCAAAGGATTCATCAAGAAAATGAAAAGACTGTCCACAGAATGGGAGAAAAATATGTGTAAATCAAATACCCGATGTAACTTGTATCTGGAATATATGAAGAATAATAATTTTTAAAAAGAGCAGTATAAAGAATTCTTACAATTCAACAATAAAAGTGACAAATGACCCAAGTGCGCAAAGAACTTAAATAGATATTTCCCCGAAGATGACATACAAATGCCCAGTAAGCTCAGGAAACGATGCTCAACGTCATTAGTCATCAAGGGAATGCAAATCAAAAGCACAGTGAGACGCCGCCTCGCACCCACCAGGGTGGCTGGAACTGACCAGACAGACAATAACAAGTGTTCGCGAGGATGGGGACAGACTGGAGCCCTCCTGCAGGGCTGGTAGGAATGTAAAAAGGTGCAGCTACTGCAGAAAACAGTTTGGCCGTTTTTGAAAATGTCAAAAATGGAGTTATCGTGTCACCCAGCAATTGCACCTCTAGCTATATACGCCAGAGAACTGAAAGCAGGCATTCAGTCAAAAACTTACATAAGAGTGTTCGTAGCAGCATTATTCAAAAAGTGGAAATAATTATTTTAAAAGTTGAAATTTTAAGGGTCGTGGTGGGGTTTCTTCGGGTGACTGTGGGGTGGATGCGGGCACCACCATGTAAGACCCAGGGCAGCAGCATGTTGGGGAGGACGCATGGGCTCAGGAGCCAGGGCCTCAGTTTGAGGCCTGGCTCTGCCACTGTGTGGCCTCCAGTGGTTGGTCTGTAACCTCCTCTGTGAAATGGGGCTAAGACAAACACCTTCTGCCAAGGGTGAGTGTGACAATTTCCGGCATGTGAAGTACGTACCTCAGTGCCAGGCAAGCATGAAGTCATCAGCAAAGCACAGCGTGCACCTTCTGTCCCTTTGGTCATCATAAGCCAGAAATCCGCCTCCACCTTCACAGCCGCCCCCACCCTCCACCTGAGGGATGGCTAGGGCAGAAAGCATGCACGTCCTCTGTGGGGACAGACGAGGACCCTCTCTTACCCTGAAGAGCTCCTGGTCATCTGACACACACAGCATCAGCTCATGGCCTAGTTTCACCATCTCTGTGGGAGGACAAAGACCTTGTTACTGTAGACACCACCCAAACAGAAGAGGACACCCAAGAGGCTCACAACACGCAGGGTGCCGAGGCTCTTCCCTGGGGAGGGTGCTCCCGCTGCATCATCAGCAGGCCTAGCATCCGTGAGACTGGGCACAGAAAACCACGGTGGACAAGGGGGCAGGGGGAAGGCACACCCAGGTGCCAGGGCTGCCTCTTGCTGGGTGACCTGCACCCTCTCTGGGTGTCAGTTTCCTCACCTAGAAAGAAGGGGTTACACCCGATGCACTTGCAGGTATGGGACTCTAGAACTCTGGCTTGAGCAGAAGCCAGCCAGCTGCCTGAGGAGCAGACAGAGGTCAAAGAACCTCCAAAACATGCTGTGTGCCAGCCTCTCAGAGACACCGTGAGGCCAAGGCAACAGGGACCACCACTCACATATGTCGATGTCCTAAAGGCCTTTCATATCATCATCTCCTGTCGTCTTGCCAGTAACCCTAGGAAGTGAGCCTTGGCTCCACTGTCCAGATGGGGAACCTGAGCACCCACATGGTGCAGACTGCCCAGCCACGTCTTCCAGGGTGCCAGGGCATTTGCTGAGTAACCCTTTGGTATACAAAGGCCAGGACTTGGAGCAAGAAAGTCTGGGGGTGGTGCCAGCCCTGTGGCAACACCCTCACTCCCCTCACAGGCAAGGCCCGTCTCCGACCCCCACCATGCCTCAGCAACAGAACAGGCACAACCCTGGATGGCATCTGCTTTGGAAGGTTTTGGTTTTTTGGTTTTTTTTAAAAGATGACCGGTAAGGGGATCTTAACACTTGGCTTGGTGTTATCAGCACCACGCTCAACCAGTGAGCTAACCGGCCACCCCTATATAGGATCCAAACCCGTGGCCTTGGTGTTATCAGCACCGCACTCTCCCAAGTGAGCCATGGGCCGGCCCTTGCTTTGGAAGATTTGTTGCAAGAAGCAAGCAGAGCATCTGTGTGAAAGGACTCAGTAACCCTGGAAACGCTGTACAAATGCCAGTTGCACTCCCAAGCAAGATTGCTCCACCCAAGCCCTCAACCCCAAATCCTCCCTGACCCTCTCTCCTTCTCAGCAAGTCCAGTCAACCTTCCCTTCACTGGACATCCAGGACCTGGCCAGTGCCCCCGCCACTGCCCCCCACCTCTCACCCGGATCCATCGCTGCAACACCCCCACCGGCCTCCCCGCCACTGCCCGGTGCTCCTATTCTCAACACAGTGCCCCCGGGATCCTGTCAAACCCAATAGCAGACTGCAGCATTCCTCGGAGTAAAAGCCACTGTTCTTCCGTGACCCACAAGGCCTGGCTTGATCTGGCTCTGATCCCTCCTGCCCTCCCCCCACTCTCCTCTCACTCCCCACTCCGCTCAGGGCACACTGGCTTCTCAGTGGTCCTCAAAACTGCCAGGCACAAGGCCACCTCGGGCCCTTGGCACTTGCTATTCCCTCGCCCAGAACACTCCTCCTCCTGACACCTGCCTGGCTTGCTCCCTGCCTTCCTTGCTCCCTGCCTTCCTGCCATCTTCTGCCAACAGTACCACCCATCCCCCAACCCACCCGGCCACCACTCTGCCCTTACCTGGCTGTGTAAGTGCTCCTCCCTGTCCGACACACTGAGAATCTTCTTGCCTTCTGTTTAACACCTGTCGCTCCCAGCCAGCACACAGCCCCATGAGGGCAGCACGACTCAATGCCTTGCAGGGAGCAGGTGCTCCTTAAATACTTGTCAGATGAATTCGAGAACTATCCTAACCCTCTACTTGTCCTAGTCTCTCCCACTTATACTCTCTGACAAGCATGACTCTCAGCACACTCCAATGAGATTGGCAAGGCCGGGGTTTTCATCCCCACTTTACAGAAGAGAAAACCGAGGCTGAGAATGGTGAAGTCTAGGCTGTGGCTGGGATCAGGGCCAGCTAGAGGGCCGAGGACAGGGTCAGCATGTGTGCATGCCTCTGGGTGGTCCCATCAGTAGGAAAGAGTCAGACACGACAGCCCTGGGAAGAAGGGTAGCACTTCTGTGTGGCCCAGGCCAGCCCAAAGGCTGCTCCAAGACACAATGCTTTGTTCTTCTAGCCCATTTCAGCCGCAGAGACAAATGTCCCCAGATAATTTAGCAATGTCAGCTGGAGCATGGATCAGGGCTCCAGGGTCCAGTTTACCCACCCTGGAGTGATCGGGATAAACACAGGCCCATAAAAAATTTGACCTTTGAAATTCCATCAACCTTTGTGGACACCATTTTGAAGGTGAAAAGTTAGCCAGCGACTAGGAGCTGCAGTTCTGCTCACCTTCATCTGGTGTTCACTACCGGGTTAAGGACAGTTTCTACCAAGAAACAATCAAAAAGAAGAGGTTGCAAGCTAAGCCCCAGCAACGAGCCACTGGTGCACTGCAAGGAAGGCCATGTGTGGAGAATGTGTACACACACCAGTGAGACGGGGGACAGAACCACTGCTGGCACTGGCAAGAATCACTGCTTCTGCATACCAGCACCGTGGCAGATGACACGCTCTGGTCCCTGCAAGAGGAGCTCTCCCACTCGCCATGCCTGGGGGGCCCTGATACTAGAAGGCTCTAGCAACATCTGTAGGGTGTGCACCATCCAGAAGAAAATACCAGCCTGACGGAAAATTTACTGCAACTTGGTAAAGAGGCTGTAAACACTCTCAGAACTGCCCAGAATTTACCACCAACTTCCACACACCCATAACGAGACCTACCTCGGATCTTCACCTCCACCGGGGCCCCCTTCAGCGAGCTGAATGTGTTCTGCATGGAGGGACAGACCCTGCAGGCAAAGAGCAAAGCCAGTCAGGCCTAGAGGGCCAGAGACTCCTCCTAATGCCCCCTCCATACACGTGCTCTAAAATGTGAATTACTTGTGCATTCGCTAAATGCCACTAACTGTTCACTTTAAAATGGTTAATTTTAAGTCATGTGAATTATATCTCCATAAATTATTCGGATAAAAAAATACTTCGAAAGTTTACCTCAGAAATGTGAATGTGAATACCAAAATGAAAATTCGTCTCACGATAAGAAAAAAAGGAGAGGACTGAGCAAGAGGAGAAAGAGCAGATTCATCAGCACCCTGAGCTCTTTCTGAAAGGGGTGGCACGGTTTGCTTTGAGGGTGCCCGGCCCCGGGCCGTCACTGGGCTCCTCGTGTCCTTGCCCGATTTGGCATCTGTTCCTCCAGGGTCGAGCACTTGATTCCAGCCAGCTCCTGATGGACAGGGCCTCCCCTGGGAAGTCAGTAGCTACCTCAGCTTCCCTCTGTTCCGGCGGGAACTGGGCGCTGTCCTTCCACTGGGCTCTCACCTTCCAGGCCATGGGCTCACTGAGGCCTGGAGCTGGCTTTCCGTTCTGTATTTCTGGGGCCTAACCTGGTGGCCAGCACATGACAGTGGCCACTAGGAAGCATCTTGCCTTAAGACAGCAACCATTTTCAGCCACCAACTGCATGGGAAGTAGGAAGTCCTGCAATACCCAGGCACACGTCGCAAGCGACACCCAGCTCAAGTCTTATGTTAGGTCTCCTCCTTCAGCAGAGCACAGTCCAAGAGCTGCACCCCCAGCCCCAACTCCATGGCTGGCACCACACTGAGACCCTGGGAACATCGCTCCAGCTGCTGAGGCCGCCACCTGCTTGCAAGGGAGCTCACCACCACAGCAGGTCCCCACGTAGAGAGAGGCTCTTTCCACAGGGCTGCTGGAGCCCAGACACCACCCCACCACCGCCTGCTGGCTCAGCATGCTGGGAAAGGACATGGTGGCTGTTCCACGGGGACAGGGGCGCTCACTGCTCCAACTGCCCGCCCCAGGACTGCAGCAGACATTAGGCTGGGCCCAGCTGCCTTAGCCGCACCACCGGCCTTGAGTACTTACTAAGACCATCACCACAGGTTCTGCGCAAACAGGGCTGAGGAGGAAGGAGAAAGTGCAAGGAGGCTGGCCTCTGTCGGCCGGGCTGCCAGGCAATGTCCCTGATCACAAGGTGCCCTTGGAGCAGAGAGCAATCACCGCTCTATGAGGCTGGACACAGCAAACCCCTCAACACACTCAGAAACCAAGCCACAGAAGTCCAAGCAGCCTGACTCAAGGCTTTCATGGTTTTATGATGCAGCAGGCACCATAGTAGAAACAATGGTGCTGGAGGCCTCTAAAGCACCAAGGAAACCTAGCAGGCATTGACCTCAGCAGCCAGGGACCATGTGGCTCAGCTCGCCCCACACTGAGGGCCAATGCCCAGCATCCACCAGGCCCCAAGGCCAATCTTGGGTGTGGCTTCCAGGTTCCACAGGGAGAGGGTGAAAAAGGCAGCTGGGGGCTGATGTGGTACAGCCACATGCAGAGAAAGGCAACGGGAAACGTGGAAGAAACTGAAATCCATCGGGTCCTCCTTTAGGAGCCTTGAGAGGCCTAAGGCACTTCTGCCAACTTGGGATTACACAATGCCATTGTATATTCCCCGGCCGCTTCTCAAAAGGATCCATTTCTGGTATTTAGAGAAGTACTACAAGCATTTGAGGGACGGCTTTGGCCTCCTACCCATCCCTCTCCAGCCACCACAGCATCCTGGCTCCCTACTGGCCGGTGGCTTCCGTCCGAGCCTAGAGAATCTGTGCCTCCCCCTGGGAGCTTGCTCCATACCCGTGCACTTGGCCGTGCCATCCCCACTACTGCCTCTCCTCCCAGGTTCCTGGACCAGGCACTGGTCTTTCTAGGGCCAGCAGTGGCTGTCACATGAGCTGTCTGTCAGTCCAAGCCCAGCTCCTGCTGTCTTTTCCCAGAGTACTGGTCTCCTTGTCTCTGGACACTCCCCTCCAAATCCATCTTTCACAGAGCCCCCGAGTCACCTTGCCAATTTTGGCACATCGCTCCCCTGGTCCCATGCCTGTCCTGCCCAGAGCACGATGTTCAAAGGTCTTCACGCAGCTTGCAAGGCTGCCACTCGGCCTGCAGCTCTCCCTCCACATCTCAACCCCCTGCACCTGTCCAAATGAGTGCCCCACCATTACCTGGACCTTCCCAGATCAAATGCCACCTCCTCCCTGCCAACACCCACACCACTCAGCTCAGACTGCAGAAATGTGCATCATTTCTGTCTGACACTGGGACTTGTGTCTGCTAAAGCTCCAGCTCCTTGAGGATACCCATTCGTGCCTGTGGCACCTGGAATAGCACATGGGTGCACATGAGTCCGTGCATCTGCTCGGCGGGCCGCACCTTGGAGCATCCCCAACTATGTGCCCACACCGTACTGCAGCCCGTGCTTTGGAGAAACAGGACAGCAGGTCAAGATAGCACCAACTGTTTGGGGGCTCTAGAAGGGGTGGGGTGTACTCAAAAGGTTGTGGGAGTCCAAGGGAAGGAGGAATACATTTTGCCCTGAGAACAGATGTTTTAAAAGGATAAAGGACATATAAGCTGGGTCCTTGGGGGCTGTATAAGAGGATATATGACACACAGAGACGTGACAGGCATTTCCAGGAGGGGAACAATGTCAGTGAGGGGAAAAGGTTATTAAGTGCTGGTGTGCTGAGTTCTGGAGAGGAGCCTGAGGAAGGTTCTGGAAGATGGCAAGAAAGGCTGCTGGAAAGGTTCAAACATAAAAACACCTCCTTCTTCTGGGGCCATCACGCTGACCTCCCTCGGCCTAGCAGACCACACCAGCTGGGTACAGGCTGGCTCCTCACTGCTCCACTGCCAGGCTCCTGCCTAGGCCCCTTCCTCAGTAGCAAGGAGGGCTGGAGAGGGGCAGGCCCAGGCCTGGCCTCACAAGAGACTCTGTACCAACAGACCATGTTCATCCTAGAGAGGTCCCTGGGTGTCATGCCAAATACCACAGGAGTCTGTGCTCCATGGGAGGATGGGTGAGCCTTTCCCACCTACAGCTTTAAGACAGCTCAGGGGCTGTATCACCAAGGGGAGAACGTCTGTCCCGGGCATGGTGTTCCCAAGAAACGGACTGTCAGTGGGACATTCTTAATTTTTCCCCTTGCCATCTGGCCAGGCTTTGTTTCCAGCACACATACTCAGGAAGGGCACCCTGCTGCCACAGGCCTTGCATGATGGCAGACACATACCATGCCACCCCCTGGCCCAAAGGACAGGGAAACAGAGTCATGGTACAGAAGCTGGCAAGAGCTGATGCTGCACGATGGCCACCCAGTGAGCTGAAAACAAGGCAGGAGCCCCGCGTCCTGGCCCTGCTTGTCACTCCTACACTGCAAGACCTGAGACAGGCTCCTGACTGCAGCCTGACTGACCCTCAGCTTCCTAGTCTGAGAATCAGAAGACTGAAGTAGAGCATTTCTCAGGTCCCTGACAGCCCTGAATCTCCAAACTAGGAGTTAAAGCAACAAAGGCGCTCAGAAGCTAAGCTCAACACTCGAACAAGGTAGTGGATGGACCAGCCCAGCACTGCTGGGGGCCACTTCACCCCCAAATTCAACATGGCTTGGCAGCCAGCACTTACCTAACCAGCTGCTCTCACGGTGGCCTGGGTTAGGGTATGGAGCCCTCTGGGAGGACAGCTACTCACAGAAACCACAAACCCCATCTTCCCCAGGTGGGGTGGGTGGTTCCCGTTTACACTGAGAACAAGAGGAAACCAGGGCATTACCGTATACACATCCACTCCAGGATCTCCAAACGGTACTTCGAGGGGCTACACAGCAGTTCCTGAATCGTCTTTGGGTCTGTAATATACAGACCCTCGAGAAAGGGGCAGCTTAGGTCCTAAGCAAGGAAAAGGAAAGCCAAAAGCTTTAGGAAGCCACCATCACTGAAGGATCACAATGCACTTCTGCAAGTGTGCTCTTCCCATACAGCTGCTGCCGCCCGCATCACTCCTGCGCTCCTTCCATCTTGCCAAGAGTTCAAGTGCCCTCACTCTCAGCCCCACATTTCCTGTGACACCTCCTTTAAGTGCGTCCCCTCTGGGCTGCCGAGGCAGCAGGACCTAGGAGCAATGCCTAAGACTAGGCCTTGAGAGAGATTGAGATCCAGGCTTCCGGCTGAGGGCAAGGGAGGGACCTAGGGAGAGGGACCACTGAGGTTGTCTTGGTGGGGAGGGGGTGGGGTGAGGGAGGGGCGAGTGGGACCGAGGAGGAGTGAGGCGAGGCGGGGCGAAGGAGGAGCCCAGGAGCGGGGTAGGGGCGCGGAGGGACGGGGGAGTGGCGAACGGACACAGCGGACCTGGGACAGTTCCTTGACCCCCTGGGGACGCTTTCCTCACTGCTGCGATGCGGGGACTGTCCTGTGGGGCTGTTGAGGGGTTCTGGAGGCTGGCCGGCCAGGAGTGCCTGGCACCCAGCAGGCGCTCGGCACACAGTTGGCATCTGACGCCGAGCCCCCGTCTCGCTGACGCGACAGGGTGGCACTGGGCTCTGCCCATCAGCTTCCCCCAGACCCCGCAAACTCCTTGAGGCCAGGGCCTGCGTCCTCTGTCCCTGCACTTGCTCCGAGCGCCCGGGTCTTCCGGAGTTCCCTGCGTGGCGCTGGCCCCAACTACCAGGCGCGGGCCGTGGAGACAGCAAGAGCGAAGGCCCGGGGCACCCCAAACAGCCAAGATGGATGCTCCACAAGTAGGCCCTGCTGCGGGGGAACAGGGCACAGCCGGGACCCGCGACAGTAGGCCGCAAAGCGCCGCTGACTTCCGCAGCAAGCTCGCCCGGGTCTCGGACAGGGCCCTGCCCGGCCCCCGCCCCCGGGTGGCCCCCTGGGCCCGCGGCACCTTCAGCTTCCCGAACACTTCCACGGCCGCCTGGAGCGCGCTTTCG